TTAAATACATAGAGAGAACTGAGTTTTCTCAAACACACGTTCAATTATTAAGTTTGGAAAAATTGAGTTCTTTCATTCTTAAGTATATGAAATAATTTCTAAACAAACAGGTTTTAATTAGTTTTTGCTAATTAATCTATTTTTAATTAAACAATACCGAGTAAAATATGTTTTTTATGGAAAGAAAAGAATATATATAAAAAAAAATAAAATAAAAAAGATTTAGGGTCTAATTACAATCTGCGCCGAATTGAAGCTGACAAGTTGATCCGAGATGGACGACGTGCGACCAGTTTTTAAAGGGTCACCTTCCAATTAGCAATTATTGAGACGTTCAAGCGATCGGCGCGGAATTTTAAAAAGGTTATCTCTCTCTCTCTCTCTCTCTCTCTCTCTCTCTCGAGATGATTCTTTGCACGAAAATATTCGACCTTCAGACGGTGGATGATTCGATCGTCGTCAAATATATCGCGGTTATAATTTGCGCTCAGCAAACATTTAGAAGTTTCCAGCTTTGAATGTATAATTGATGTATTCGCCTCGCGGAATAAACCTTTCGCTTTTATTCCGCAAATACTTAAACCACCAAAAAAGAACGGTTTTTTTTTGGATTCTTTTTTTTCTCGTCTCGCAGTGTGTGGTTTTCAATAAAAATGCAATTTTTTTTTTTTATTTTTAAATCGCAAGAGATAGGTACGCACGGGCGTGTGTGTATACGCGAGAATACGCCATTTATTAGGTCAGAAACAAGAGACTTCATCGAAGGTTGAGAACCGTGGGCCACAGAATGATGGATGGTGGCGTTCTTGCTCGTTCATGAGGAAGTTATTACGGTTTGCAGAAGGTGGCTGCCAAGATGCAGAGTGCAAGTCAAGGGTCGAGTGGGGCTAGGAAAAACGGTAGAATGTCGCACGGATCCGCAATGGCACGCGAAATCCCTCGAACGAGGCGCCCGATCGATTAAAAGAATCGGAGTAATTGGTTAATGATGCTCGGCGATGCTCGATATGGCCGAGCGCGCCTCGCGGCTTTTGCGCCGGAAATTCTTTCTTTTTCTGAATCGCGGCTCGAGCTATCACATCTTTATTTCTCTTCTGGAGAAACTTTCCTTCGAATAACCACAACAAATATGCAGAAACGCAGAGAGATGTGTATTACATTTTTTTTTTTTTTTTTTTTACGCGAATTTCACCTCCGCGCGATTCGCGATCGCATAACAAAAACAGAAAATAAAATTACGGTGAACGTAGAAACGCTTGAAAAATGGTTGAAAACAGCGATACCGGATGCACGGCAGGCTACTTTTATCGACGCTCGTTGATCTTAATGACGATGTGTACCGGTCGTCGCCCACCGATAGACAAACCGTGTCGCAAGAGATCGGCGTCTCCCTGTCTCTCTCTCTCTCTCTCTCTTTTTCTCTCTCTCTCTTCTCTCTCTCTCTTCCTCTCTCTCTCTCTCGCTCCTTCGCGTGCCAGCTGATTTATCGACGTGCCCTCGAATTATATGCCGCAGCTCGACGCCGTGCGGCTTTCACCGACGACGAGGACGACGACGACGACGACGACGACGATGACGGTGGCATCGTGCTCCTTTTGTCTCGTTGAACGGCGGTTTCGACACCGCGCCGATTGTCTTCGCTTCTAATCGCGACTATCGCGCGTACGTATCGATATATGCGTAACAACACGGCGCGATCCTTCGGCGGCGTGTTGTTTTATCGACGGTCGTAACCATGTCGCCGGGGAATGCGTATTGTCTGCAAAAATCGATCGCAATGCGACACAACGACGATCGTCGATAGGTATGCGCGCACGATCGATTTCTCAAACGCGTTTGTCACTCGACGAGTTTTCGACTCGGAAATTGCTTCATTAAAAATCAATTGTTCGTTTTTTTTTTTTTTTTAGTTTCGAGAAGAGGGGATAATTTTCTTTTATATATCTGGAAAGCGCGCTTTCACGACGCCGGCGTAAATTTCTCGAAATTCGCAATATCGAGTTCCCAAGATGCCCCGTTTTCTCCTTACTTTAATACTAGCAGTTTCGCGCCCGCTCTAAACCGGCCTGCGATTAACGCGCGGAAGCCGCCGCGACGCGACGTGCACTCGAAATGATTTATACGCGGTACCGTCTCCGTACGTGACGCGTCGTTTACCACCCGCTCTCCGCGTCGGAAGATTAATTAACCCCGTGGCGATTTCGGGAGGATAGATAGATGGAGAGAGGGAAAACGTGCTCCGCCTGGAGCGCTCCTCCGAGCGGGGGTGGGCGCGCGGGGAGGGCCTCACGAGGGCCCGCGGCCGCGGTTTCTTAATCCAATTTCGTGGTGCATTAATCTAATTATGCCTAGGCATATGCACGTGACGTGCAACTATGCCGGCCGGCCGGTCCGCTTTCGTAATGCTATGGCGCCCGGACGTCGCGGGGCCGGCAAGAAACTCGTCCGCGCAGAGTGCCCCAGAACTGTCGGATGATGTGCTTTTAATCTCGCAATTCTCTCGCAATCTCAAGCAAATTTATATAGCTTATGAAAAAAAAAAAAATAGTCTTGAGAGAGTCTTTTCCGCGGATTAAAAGTATCTTCGCGGAACGCTTGGACATAAATGTGAAGTAAATTTACACTCAAATCTCTTCTTTAAGGAGAATCTCTTAGTCGCGGGATTAAAATACATCGCGCGCACGTATACACACACACACACACAAACATATATAAGTGATCCGTCGATAAAGCGCTATTGCGATATCGCGAGAATCGATTCGAGAGCAATGGGGCTGTCGGCAAAACTTTCGCCTCGACCCGCGGTAGCGGGCACCAACAAGTTTCACATTAATTACATCATCGATTTGCTACGGTCTCTTATAATAAAGGAGCGCTCGCGACCCGTATATATATATATAGATAGATGTAACCGCGGAAGTTCTTCGCGCGAGGAAAGTATCGCGGAGAGAAAAGATCAGAGAGAAAAGCTACTCTCGAGAGGGGTGAAACAGTGTGTCGAATAACTTCCTAGAGGCGCGCCTGTCACGAAGCCCCGGGTCATTGGTCACCTCGTTCTTATCTCGCACTGTCTACGACCCATCTCGGTTAAAGCCGAGAGCTTATGCCGTTGCACGGTTCACCGTAAACGGAATTAATCCATCTACTTGGCTACGGGATTATAGAAGCCGGTTGGCGCGGAAGTAATAAAAGTTATCTTAATGCAATTTTTCGTCAACGGTTATCTCTCGTTATTACATACCGTTCAAAGGTCGAGTCCGTCGGTCGAGATTGTCCGTCCACTCTCGCGTCTAGTTCGCGAGCGAGGTTTCATTTATTATACGGGCATTAATCTGAGAAACGGGGAGTTTGCGAACACATGAACACGCGATTCTTTTCTATTCGCGTATTTGCAGAATAAACGTTTTGAGATTTTTTTTACAACGCAACAGTTTTTTGTTTCTTTGTGCGTTCAAACGCAGAAGGAGAGAAATTTAATAGGTGGATAGAGACGAGTGTGTGCTGCCGCCTCGGGAAATGCGCGGACTCGAGTGCTCTCGTCTTTTTATTCGGGCTTCCATTCTGGCAGCTGCCATCACTCACGCGTTGAAATTTCCGCGACGTTGGCCGGAGCGGCTGTATGTGTGTGTGTGTGGAAGCGATCGGTCCGCGAAATCGTTTAATCCGAACCATCGGAGTTAACACTCTCTCTCTCACCGGGCGCCGAGTCACGATCGTTACTTTCGTTAAACAAGATCCTCTTTGGAGAAATCCGAAACAATCGTCGACACGCCCATCCACGTACCCCATACGTACCACCATATATACGCCGGCTTTTATGCGCGCTTTGTTAGGTAAGAAACGTTTCGTCGGGCAACAATGTGTGTTCCGTCGAGAGAGCGCGCGCAGATATCGCGTTTTAATGTAACATAATAACCGTGAGCTATCGCGCGAGCTCTATGCGCGCGTTCCACACTACTTCTGCTTTGCTTGAATAAACTTGCGGTAAAGTTCTGAACTATACAAACGTCACGCGCGCGCGTTACTTCAATAAATAATATGACGTGACGTTTTATTTGTTGTTTGCTAAATTCACGTTCCCGCGCTTCTCGCGCGTTTCTTGCGCGAGTCGAGATTGTGATGAATTTTCATAGGAAATCGCGCGAGTATTCCGCAACTCGTGTGCTTACATCCCGTGATTATATCACGGACAAGAACGATCGCATTGACGAAAACTGTGATTTGAATCGCCTCGCTTCCTTTTTCCTGCTCACGGTGAATTTTCCCTCCGTCATTTCGCTCCGTTTCGAATATGACAATTTGTGCGAGGCGATTCGAACGCCGCTGTCCCGCGTTACTGATTACCTGCCGTTCGTATGGTTTCGAGCGCCCTTGCTGCGGAAATTGTGAAACCGGTCCATAATTGGAACTTGACTAATGACAAGACGGGTCATTGCGCATATTATAGCCATGGATTGGCATTAGCTCGCTCGCGTATACACACACGGGGCGTCCGGACGCAACCGCAAGACCGTGGAGCGCTCCACGTGGGAAAGGATGCATTAAAAGTGCATCACAGTGGAGTGGAGGAAATGGCGAGCGCTGCCGAAAGGCAAAGGCATTCGTCTGTCGAAATTAACATGGTAAAGGCGGGCACCTTTCATACTTTCGCAACAGAGATTAGTCGTGCTTGCTCCGGCGGCAGCCCGGATGATAATTATTATTGCCGCTTAGCATCTCCAAGAATGTGCGAGTAGAATAAAAATATAGAAAACATAACGATTCGTTTTAATCTACGAAAAAAAAAAAACCAAGGTTTACGTTAATTATTAGAGTTACTACCTTAATTATTAGAGTTATTATCTTAATTAGTTAGTTGAAAAAAATGTATATTAATTTCAAACGTAATTAAGGTTATATAGAGAGTAAATTATAATGCTTTAATAATTATCTGACATCTTGGTTAAACGTCGCACACACGTGAACGTGCTTACACAGCGCGATCTTCGATCTGCTTACAGATGGAGCATAGAGGCGCGCCGCGCGGGCAGCAGGAGCAGCAGTAGCGTTGAGCTATCGTCGGGGAACCTGATCGCCGGGCCCTGTCTCTCGGGCCCGATCTTGCGCGAGGTGACGCGAGGCCGGGCGAGCGCGAGATGGCCGCGACCGACGGCCAGATCGTCGTCGCGGCGGCACGCTGGGCCGAAGAGGCGACGTATCTGCGCGAGTTCGTCTCCAAGTACCGTCTGCCGGCCGTGATCAAGATCACCAAGGGCCAGTACGGCGGTTTGGGCGTGCCGACGCTACCGGCGCCAAGTCTGCAGAGCACGGCGTTGCTGATATCGGCCGGTCGTCGGCGTAAGATCGTGGCGCAGGCGGTGAAAATCAAAGAGGGCCGCCGTGTGGTGGGCGTAGGTCCGCGACTGGCGATACCGGACTCGTACGCGGGCTACTTCGAGATTCTGAGCGAGGAGGGTCGCGCGGTGCGCGGCATCGAGTCGGTCAACGAACTGTCGCGACGTTGCCCAGAAGAGGGTGCTCTGGTGCGCGAGACGTTACGCGGCATCGCTTGCCGAGTAGACGACGAGTCGGGGATCGTGGTACCGGAGGGCACGAGAACCCTCGCGGCCGGTGAGACAATCGTCACCGCCGGTGAGGTCGCGTTGCCCGGTCGCGGTCGGTTTCTGCGCTGCGTGGATTGTCGCGGCGACAGCGTGCTGCTCGGAATAGATCAGCGCGGTCGCTTCAGCGCGTTGGCGCGCGAGGACAACATCAGCGGCGTGCACACCGCCCGGGCGCTTCTCAGCAAACGCCTGCCGCTCACCGTGAGACTGGTGCACGGCCAGCCGCCGCGGGGGCTCAAGTCGTCGTCGCAGTTCGTGCCGGAATTGAGGCTGCTGTCGACTTTCGAAGAGGAGCACGTGTTCGCGCTGCCGTTACAGAGAGAAGGCGCAGCGGTCGCGCTGCCGCTCGCGGCGCCGCTCAAGCTGGTGAAGGCGCGGAACGACGAGGCGCTCAGGTCAATGCAGGAGTTCACGAGGTTGGTGGAACGCGCCTCCCGTCTGGTTGCCGATGTGGCCGATCGAGCGCACGTGCTGGACGGTCGTCTGGGCGAGAGCAAATCGTCCCGACAGACGAGGAGCGCGTCGGGCTTCCTCAGAAGACCGTCGACCAACTCGGATCACGCGCCGCTGAGCCATCACAGAAACAGCAGCGCCAGCCATCATCATCACCATCATCACTATCACAGCAGTAACGGCCATCAGTCTTCCGGTCATTCGGGCTACCGGGATGAGAATCGGGTACCGCCGTCCTCGTCGTCAGCCTGCACAGAGGAGTACGACGAGATCGATCAGATATACGATTACGTGCGCGGCTTCGCGCCGTTGCCGAAGAGCGTCAGATCGCCATACGAGAGTCCTCTCGCCACAAGTCAGGGCGGCTCGACGCCACCGTTGACGCCGGTTACCGTGACGATCGCGCCGCTGCTTGACGACCGACCGGAACCGCCGCCGATCGAGACGATACCGACGAAGAAGATCCAGGCAGAAAAGCGAACCAGACGCGCGGTCAAGGAAGCGCCTCAGCCGCGGGTGGAGAAGCCGCCGCTGGCGAAGCTCTACGTGAAGAACAGCGGCACTCAGCGCGGACGTCCGCTAATGAGGCAGAAGAGCGCGTCACCGTTGAAGGAAACGCCGCCGGGTTACAAGGGCGGCTCGCCGCTTTTCAACATACGCTACAAGAGCCTGACGAATCTCCAGCAGGCCATGGAGCTCGACGGCACGTTGGACTCCAGTCACTCGGGCGGAAGAACGTCGGGAGATTCCGGAGCAGGCGCGAAGCTACCGGAAAAGAGGTTCGTCCGTTTACATCGATAACATCAAAATATTTTTCATGATATTCATTATATTTAATATTTAAGTCTTATTTATTTGAATTTTTGTTTTCTAAAAAAACTCTTAATGATGATATTGTTATAAACAAATTATATAAGTTCCAATATATCCGAAATTGCAATTTAAATTAAAAGAAACCCAGGAGGTGAATATATTTTTTATTTGAAAATTCGTCGCGTTTCTGTTCGTGCGAAATCTATAGATCGAGACGTCTGAGCAGGCCGCGATCGCTGACGAATTTAGTCTGGGAGCTACGAGGTGGAAGCGGCCTCGGCTGCACGAGACCGGAAACTCCGCCGCCCGCCACAACTGCACCGTTGCCACCGACTAAATGTGGGCCACGTCTGGCTGTCACCGTCGTGGCACCGCGACGTGTCGGCACGCTCTACCTCTAACTCGTGAGTACATGTATTTTAAAGTTCTCTTTTCGCACGATACATCATCAATGTTTCAAATAACAACTGTTCGGCACGAAACTGTTCCGTGATGAAGTTTTAAAATAAAAAAAAAAAAATTGCGATAAATTTGCAAGTGTGTGCGAACAATATATTTCGTTCGAACAATCAAAATTGCACACGTACACTTTTGAAACAAACAAAAAAAAAAAAAAAATGAAAACATCACTTTTACAATAGATTACCTTTGATGCGCTTCGAAGAAGAAATTTCTTGCGATGAATGGGTTCTCGAAACAACGCGGTTTTGTATTTTCCCTCCCGATGCTCTTTTTCGCTCGCGTTTCCCGTATTTCAGCGTCGACGATACGCCGTTGTGTGCCCGAGCGGCAACATTATTTGTCGAGACCGAGCGGACACGCACGTCGCAATTAACCATGTCCGAGAGAATACCGGTTACGACGTAGTTATAGCGTACTTTGTCCGGGAAGGAGGACTGAATCGTTAAATTCGCGGGACCGAACGAAGGCTAGAGATAGACAAGATGATCTTTTTAACGGGGCATTTTACTGGGCGTTATAAAAGAGACGCGTTCGCTTGACCGGTGCTCGCTTCGCTTCCCTATTGCCACATAAGTCCTTATATTCATTTAATCGCTCGCCCCACTTCCGCGACAGCGCGATCATCATAACGACGTCTCGGAAACGCACTTGTTTCAAGTCAAACGCGATTCAGGAAGAGTCGCGCGCGAAGGAATTATCGCCAATTAATCTAAATCGTGAAATCCATTCTTACACACGTAATCGATTCGAACGCGAGATATATTAACGCGACGAGCAAACCGGTAAACGCCGTTCGAGGATCGAGAGACGCTTATTACGAATGGACGACGACGTTTTAAACTCTCTTTGTTTCATCCTTCGTTAAACTCATCATCATCATCGTCGTCGTCATAGTCGTCATCATCATCGCGCGCTTGGTCTTTTCTCGCTTCGCTTAAGCACCGGGGATACCTCTATCTGATCCTTTCTCCGATGCCGTGATGTCAAAGTTTTTTTTTTGTTTTTTTTGTTTTTACATGCAAATCGTCGGGATCCGATGATGCATATAATAGATTCTTACGTCACCGCGGTATTTCGCGTCGCGCGAGTTAATGCACGGCACCGACGATATTGCACGCGAGTGATCGAGCGAGCAAGGAACGAGATGCTGCGGGAAGGCAATCTCCGCGGACGATCGTCCCGCTCGTTTCCCCGTCCGTTAATCCGCCGATGATAATCGACAGCGACAGCGAGAGATTGAAAGCGTTTTCTCGTCACGGGCCCGGTTCTGCACGTACACACACCGGGGCGACGACGAGGCGTTTACGGGAGGAAGTCGGGAATCACAAAACTTCCTGCCGCGCACATCCGCAATCCAACGTAGATACCGGTTGGTATTCCCAAGCCGTGGAAATTAGCGAGGTCCGCACGCGGGTTAATCCGCCGTGGCCTAACTCGTCTTTTTCTTTTTCTCGTTTTCTTTTTCTCTCTCTTTCTTTTCTCTCTCTCTCTCTCTTTTTCTCCCGCGGGTGCTGTTTAGTGCGGACTTAAGCCGCTTGGCCTCGCGAGAGAAGGACAACTCGCTTGGAAGCCGCCGACAGAGACGGAGGACAGAGAGAACGAGGAGATAGTTCAACGGTGGACTCTCGGCGGTGGACAGCCTCCGGGTGTATAACGTCATCCTCGCGCTCGGTGCAGCGCTATAATAGCCCAGGTTCGTTCTCCGCGAGGCCGTTCCGTGAACGGAATTAAACCGGACCGGGTTCAACGGCTGGACAAACCGTGGCTTCCGGTCCCACCGTGTACGCGATCAGCTCACCGCCCACTTGCTCGGTCACGCGTTATGAAAAATTATGTCGAGAAGAAATGAGCGAAACGCGCGATTTCATCGGTTTCCGCGCGACGGAGAACGCGCGCGACCGTTTCCGATAACGCAATCGTACGCTCGGCGAAGTCGATCGCTCAATCTGCGTAGAAGTGCAGTATTTCAATCTCTCTTCGATAATCACGCAAAGTGTCGTGAATTTTAATATGTTTCTTAATTTGAATATGTTTCTGTTTTTTAAACATATTTTTTAAACATATTTCTAATATTAACATTCATTACTGCAGCAAGTTCTGAAAACTTGACGTAAATTATACACATCAAAAGTCGATTAAAAACACCGCACCGGTTTCAAAACCATCGCGCGTCTGCGACCAGTAATATTCAACCGTCTCTTTTTTCCATCTCGCAACCGTGACCGTAACTCAAACGAGGGAGGTTGAAAAGATTTAGTTATCCACGATTAACGTCAAAGCGAAATCTCGAGCGAGATCGGTCGGGCGCAAAACCGGACTGGTAGCGAAAATAAGAAAGTCACACGTGGGAAAACGCGACGCGGTTCCGCAACACGAAACGTACACAGCGCACTCGAAGATTCAGACCGTTCTCTTCGTCTCTTCTCGCGTCGTTGCCGCGCCTCTTACAAGAGATTAAGGCTGCGAATTCAGATCTCGCCGAGCGAATTTGCGGTTTCCGCGGTAACATTAGTTTCGGCACACTACCTTTCTCGCGCGGCGCGACTTGTCGCTGTTGTTGTTGTTGTTGTTGTTGTTGCATTCTAAATTATACTCCCGCCTGTCTCTTGCGGCTACCCGCACCCGTTTTCACGTACATTTTAAACGCCGCTCTGCGAAATTACCGGGTGTCTCCCGCGAGAAACGAGAATGCCCATCTCGCGCCGTTCCGTCGCTCGGCCGCTAATTAATTAACACTGATCGAAAACACGATGCTTCTCTCCGCCAATCCCACTTTCTCGCTCGCCAAGCGATTCGCGCGCGCGCGCGCACAACGGTGGTGGGCGTCAAAACTTCCCCGAGGTCGGAAATATAAACGGCGCACACTACATATGTACGATCTACGCTATATGTTAAATCGCGTCAGAGAGAGGAGGAGTCGTCGCCGATAATTAGAAAGTAATCACACCGTGCGGTGTGGTTCTTTTTTTTTTTCGCGAGGCTTTTGCTCGCCCGAGAGACGACGAGAGAGATCTCTCGACAAAGGGAGAAAGAGGAAGGACTATTATCTCGAAAATTGCTAGGTGTGTGTTGCACCACAACTCTGGCACATCTCTGTGCCTCGCCTCTGCGCTCGGGCAACGACGTGGACGACAACGTTGATTAATATCAACAAATTCCTTCGCGCATAAGCTCGCTCGTGGCGAGAGAGTTTCACGCGCGCGCGTCGGTTAAACGTCGACGCCGAACGTGGCATTTACTTACGGCGAACCCGACGATTGCGGCGTCGTGGTGTTATCAACGCGCGTTTGATAATATTAAAAAACCGATCGGGGGGGGGGGGGGGGTTTCAGCGGCGCGCGTTTTTCTCGCTCCCGCAGCTTCTGGCACTCGCGCGAGTGCACCGCAGCAACAACGAGTCGCGCTATGATCATCTTCGCAATTGCTAGGCGCGCGCTTACGCTGCTTCGTGCGCTTGTTAGGGTGCTTCGAGAGGCACGATCGCCCCGATCGTGCTTTCAACGAGCGCGTTTGTAACGCGAGCTTCGACGTTTCGCGCACGATTCGGAAGTACGGCGGATATATCTTACGTAGTGCTGGTGTGCCACGATATATTCCCGTGGAATATTTAAGAAGGTTTAATATTTAAGATGTGCTTTGCACAGAGAAAGAGAGAAGAACATTAATTACACATCGCAATTTTTTTACATCAAAGAACGTTCTTCTCTTAAATAATTTTATTTTATTTTATGTTATTGTATTTTTGTATTTTTATTTATTTTTTTTTTATTTTTTTATTTTCACTTTCTATTCCACTTTCACTCTTTAAACTTATTTTTATTATCATTTGTATATATAATCACTTTTTGCGGTGTTAATTTTGCTAGTTAATTATTTTCTTTAGTCAGTTTTGTTTTTGTTATATTTTTGTTTTGTAAGTAGCGCTTGAGAGAATTTTTTTCAAAGCGTTTTAAAAATAAAGCTGTATCTATATATCTATCTATAAATAAATGTAAATGTTTTTAATTCACGTTCTTTACGCGACTGCGAAGTTTTCACTCATCTTTGTGCGACAAATGGTGCTTTATGAGAGAAAACATAGAGGACTGGAAGATAATTGTATTTTCAATATGAATAATTTTCTATCTGATTTACTCGGCGGAATAATGTATTTCATTGAAAGCCATCGCGCGTGCGTTCAACGTGCCTGGCACGTATGTACACGTTACGAGTGTGCACGCACACTCGGCGTTTTCGCTCTCTTCTAACCAAAACCATGCATATTTATCGTACCCCCGACTACATTGCATGCAAATTACAGACGACGTTCGGGCTCCGCGGGCCCGACTCCTCGTTATTCTGTCCCATTGTCTGCCTACATCCTCTCTTCCCGGATAAATGCCGTACTGACGTGGTTCGGCGTACGTGCGTCGCGGGTAGGCCCGTCCTGAGTCATCCGGCGAATTTTTTCACCCATTTACCGTCTAAACCCATCTACGTACTCGAGATGGTCGAGAGGCGTAAGAGACAACGAGCCGGCGCGTATACACGAAAAAAAAGAACATTAGAGAAGAAGGTTGCGTCGCGTCAAAGCTACTTCCTCTCAAAAGCTCTCTCATCTGAAACTCTCTCGCCCACGTGAATGACGCGACGCGCAAATGATTCCGAGATGTCCCGTCCGCTTCGCATGGTGTTATTCGCATTTGATTTCAAAGTTTTTGTCTCAAGTTTTTTTAATTTTCAAACTAGCAGAGAATTTTTTTATATGAATCACGTGCTGAACGTTTATACGTGCGCGAGATATATTTTTAAGCGTGTAAATTACTACAATACGCAATAATTGGAACTGAATTCTATTCGAAAATTCATATTGTATGCTTTTTATTATTATATATTAATTAACTTACACGGCTGGTCCAGTAGCCTCGTGTCCTAAGTGCGGGAGTTACGAGCGAGGAAGATC